AATTAATCCTTACCGTGAAACGTTCAAACGAAAACTGTAATGAGTGAGAATCAAAACTCAATTTTATACAAAATTCAAAGATAAGAAGACGAATAATGAAGAAATTAGCATAACCTTGAGGAACATCGGCCGACTGATAACTTCATCACCACACGATGATCACATGATCCCCGCAAGTTGAAATTTTATAAACATAGTTTTAATAAAGATTCAAGACATTAACTAATCAAATGAAATATTGCCAAATTTAAGTCATTTATGACGTAATTTAAGTTTTCAATGTATACATGATGAAGTTCTGTTCAAACAATATAGCTAAGAAAGTTAACTGAATTTTATCTTCATTTCTTTTAGGAATGAGAAAAAGTCATATGAAACTAAAGCTTCAGTGTTCAAATTTAAAACTTCCCTTTTTCTCAGGCGATGATTTCAGAAGAAATTTTTATGCGATCCCATCAAAAGCTTCTTGAATTTTTCTGTTATTTTCCTGAAAAATTGTAGTATTTTTGCTATTATTAATTTCCAATGATGTTCATTTTTTCAAGAACGCTGCACTGCGATGCGATGAATCTAAGGCGTGTGTAATTCAAAAGCGATTTTTCTTAAATCCCACAGGTTGTCAAACGTTTCATAATAGTCAAATTGTTCAAATAAAAAAAGTTCGTTAAAAATTTATCAAAAACATTGCCATCTTTTACTGAAACATTTTCAAAGATCAAAAATTCCTAAGAAGATTATCAAGGTCATGAAATAATTTATTTTGTGATAAAATAAAACTTTAACAATTAACAGATCATCATCACACAATTTTTTCAACGTTTTTGGATTTTAATATTTTAAAATTCCAAAATCCATTCTTCAATGGTTTTAAGCGAATAAAAGCACATTGGAATGCTCTACAATCCTATTAAAAGAATATTATTTAGATATCTCAGTAAGAATCAACTATTGTAAAATTTAGTACGAAAGTTGTTTTTAAGAAGAACTAAAGTCTCTGCTGCTAAAAGTTCTTTCTCACAAAGACTTGAATTGCTGTTGCCTTTTGATGTCTTTCTCTTATCATTTTTCATAAAGTCAATATTATAATTACTGGGCATGAAATTGGCGGTGCTCTCAAGCCACTTTGAAAGTTCAGGCTTTTTATTTGTCTCTTCACTACCATTATTGTCACCAAGACTGTCAGTGAAATTATTATTTTCAATCAACTCGCAATTATTATTTTTCATAATTTGCGTTACATTATTATTCGTTTCATCACCAAGTCCGCGCAGATATTTTTCCATTATATGATTCTTAAATTTATTTGAGTTTGAAAAATATTGTTTGTGATCTGCTGGAAATTGATGTTGAAAATGACAGTCATTTGTTGTTGATGAGATATGGAAGCATTGAGCCTGTGCCATAAAATTCGTAGCAAGTTGTGAGCTTTGTAAAAATGGTGTTGTAGGCAACATGAAACTTTGCCCATGCGCTATCGATGCCATTTCATTAAATTTTCTCTCACTTCCTTGAGACAAATCTTGAGCTTCCGAGTCGTCCATTGAACATGAATCTAATGATTCTTCATTTCTATGTCCCTCTCCCCATATTGAATCCGCACTGCAAATGCTGAATTGTTCTACATTTCCTTTAGCTGAATTGTTGTAGTTTTTAATGAGATTCCCCCAAGATTTCTTTTGATTACTCGTATTCTTCAATTTCCTTCTCCAATTTGCAAACCAATTACAAATTTGAGTATAAGTGAGACCTTAAAAATTATTTCTTTATTGAAAGTTTTAAATGTGTTAAATTAACACTGACCAGTATCTTGAGCAAGAATTTTCTTCTCTTCCCTACTTGGATAGGGATTGTCGCGTCTTCGAACGAGCCAATCTTTTAAAAGTCTTTTTATTTCGGGAGTGAAAAGTCTTTTAACTCCTTTGTCACCATTTTGTGTCCAAGATTTCCTATAAAAGAATAAAAAAATCTTTAACATGTTTACTTGTTATCTTTGCTTTCTTTTTCTAATGTTAGTTGGAAAACGCGAAAAGTCAAACTACACTTCAAACGTCAGTTAGTCTAATCGAGACAGAGACAAACATCACACCTCACTTAATTACACACCTAGAGTTCTTTCTATTGCGAATCGGTCTCGTTGTTAACTTATCCATCTTCTTATTCTATTTTTCTTTATTCTACCTAAGTGAGAAGATTTTGGTTTTGTTAATTCTTTTTATTAAAGAAAATTTTAAAAGCTTACAGGTGTCAAATTAGAGTACGAATTAAAAGAGCATAAAACATTGAAATGAACTTTCTCATCCCAAAATTCTTTGTTTAAATAAAAAAAGTTAATTATGTGGCTTTAAATTGCTTCACAAATGAGTAATTAGTTGTTTCTCAATGTCGATATTTTTTAACAATGTCTCTCGTTGTTTAAAAATAAAGTTTTTTTAAAAAAAGATAAAGATCTTTGGTCTGAAAATAGCGAAAATCGTTTAGCGTATGACACGAGTGAGAAAAAACAAGGATTTGCGTTGCTTATGTTTTTTTCTTCTCTACATCATCAGCAACTTCATGTTTTTTTTTCTTGTAAATAGTTAAAACCTGGCGCTCGATTTCGTATTTCTTTTAAACAACACTAACAAATAAACAAAATAAAAATATTTGTATTGCTAGCAACTCACAACCTACAGCAATTTTCACATTTTGCACTAGTATTCAAGACTGCTTTGCGATTGATCGTTATGTGAATGAAGGAGTGAATTTGCTATAAGTAAGATCGAAGCAGTGGCGTGGGAAATGCTTCAAAACATTTCTTCTCACTTTTCACCTACGCGACTGTCATTTTCCTTTTCGGACTGGCGATTGTTGCACAAATATATAAGTTTGAGAAAAATTATTTATAGACGCAGTCTGATTTTTGTTTAAGAACCGACGATAGCCCATAAGATCATTAGAGAACGAAAAGAAAAAACGAAGAAGAAGATGTTTCAAAAATAAAGCGAAGAAGTTGAGCCAGGGCGATGTGGAAGCGAGAAAAAAAAGCATTTTCGATTTTCCAAATCATGTAATGGTCAAAAATATAATTTTGTTGAAGGATTTTTGTCGATGTTTTTTCATTGTCATATCTCAGATTTTCTTGTCCTTGTTCGGTGTCATTTCAGGATGAAAATAACAGATGGAAAACTCTCAAAAGGAAAAAACATTAAAAATTTACATGACTTTGAAAATAATTTTTTTCACATTACGTAAATTGCAATGATTCGAGATTTTCTTTACATTTCTTTATATTTATTTGGTTGTAGTGGGTGGAAAGACGATTTTCTCGGATATTTAATTATTTATGTGAAATGATGTTTCTAAATTATTTTGGATATTTACGAACATCCTACAAAGAGCTTTCAATAGTTGAGTTTCTATTTAATAGTCGTCTCACCTTAATGTCACACACTTTGCTTTGTAAGTATCTTTTCAGTGTCAATACCTTGTCACTATCACTCTAATATGAAGCGTAATTTCTGGTGTAAGTAAAACAGATTCTTACAAAACACAAATCACTTTGTTAATTGTTTAATTTCTCTATTTTGTGTCTGATCTTACTGCCTCAACGACTGATGAACATCTGAACACAGTTGAAAGCGTCTAGATGTGAATTTTTTACTCACTCGTGAATAGTGAATAAAAAAAACAGCAAAACGAACCTTGACGAACATCGGTGTCACGAGGAAAATTTCGTGTTTTTTTGATCTGCTTGAAAAGTAAATAAATGAAACAAAAAAAGAAATAAAAACAGAAAAGTTTCTTTTTCACTTTAGTTTTGTTGTGACTCAAATTTCTATTCAAATATTATGTTTTTTCGACATCAAAAATTCGTTGACCTAGAAAAAACAAAGTAAGAATAGAAAAATAATGAGATCGAAACACTTTTCGATTGAGTCTAAGAGTTATCTGATAAAAAATTAGATTTTTCAATGATCTTTATCTTTGTACATAAAATGAGAAGGAAAAAAATAACAAGAAAAGGAAAAACGTCAGAGAACAACGAGAACGTCTATTTTTGAACGATTTCATGTTTCGCATCCACATAGCGTCCGCAATTCTACGGCAAGTGGTTTAAAATCTAATTTATTGGCGTGTAATTTTAATCTTCCAAATTTTGAGAATTTCAAATATTCAGGATGAAACCTTTCATTTAAAAATTGATCAATTTAAACGTTTGACAAAAAAAAATTATTTTATTAATCTGAAGATTTTTAATCAATCAACAAATTAAAAATTTCGATAAAAAATCACGACAAGTATTCACTTCAATAGATTTCAAAGATATTCGTCTTGATTAGCATTCCATATCTAAAATGGAAGTGGCAATGGCTGATGTTTCAACTCTTGTTAGTCACACATTTTCATTTTTTTTCTCTGTTCTACGACGACGATGAATTGCGTTCATGGCAATTTTGATTTCTTTTTCTTTTCGCATTTTATGTGAGCCTCGAATTGCTTCGCAAAATATGGTTGTGTCGTTTGTTGATGTTTTCCTATATTACGGTGATATCTGGCATTTCAACGCCTGGTGCTTTGAATTGTTTTCATTTCTTCAATGGTTGATGCAAAGCTCCCATGCACGGTGAAGAAAAAAGAAGAAAAAAAGTTCAAATGGCGCTTATTCAAAAATATTTTATATTCATTCATGGAGGGATTTATTCGTGAGTGAAGTTCGATGAACTTGATGAATTACGACGTGATATAAGATTTATCAATGATAAATTCATAAGACGTTCCTTCATTGCTCTTTCGTTCATGATTATTTAAGAGAACATTGTAGACATTTTATGACGGGTCATAAAATATGAAACCTTAAAGACATGCTTCGTAGTTTCTGACCTGTGCTCATAAAAAAATATCTTTAACATTCAATAATCAAGCTTATGGATATCTTGATTGTAAAAACTTTGTTTGTTTTTTTATTCGTCTCATTGGAGTCATTCCCACTTTGGAAAAAAAAGAAAATGGTTCGAATTGCTGATGAATGGACGTGAATGTATGGAAATTGGGAATTTGTGCTTTGGAAATTTTGAAGTCTTCTGGAAATTGAGATTCTTCCACGTTTACTGGTTAAGCTGTTGCAATGGCAAATCAGTTTGCAGCTGAAATTTAAGTGACGATTGGAAACTTCATCAGATGGAGATTTGGAAATTGCCTCCTGAATCCTTCAAGTCAAGGTAACTTTTCACTTTAATCCTGATCTATTCAAACATTTTAAGATATTTGCGATGTCATCATATGAAATGCTGATTAATCAATTAACTGCTTATCTTATCTTATTCGCAAGACATCCGCTATAGAGTCATTTGAAATTTAATTGCGCCATTTTGTTCCGTACATTTTGTTTCATACAATTTTAGTTGAGAAAAATGGAGTTTTTTTGGAATGGTCTACAAAATCAAGTACTAGGGAAACATGAATCATTACAAGCATTGGAATCACTTTAGTCATCCAACATGTGAGTTTGGTAATAAAAGCTCAAGCCACGTGCTATATGCTTTGTAAATTAATGTTAACAATAGAAAGCTTATGATACCAAAACAAACATGTAAGAAGCATCTTGTGAAGATTCGGGAGATATTTTTAATCAACTTAAGGTAATTGAATTAAATTATCAAAAATTTCCAACCGTTCTTAATATTATTTCCAATGAGAGAGATTTCCACTTTAAACTTCATTATTGCATATCTCACCCATCACGTCTACTACAAATGCCTCGAGACATCACATTCGTTGGTATTATTATATTCAATGTGTTTACGTTTTCCATGTAAAGTAAAGTGACGTTTTCAAATAGAAGGTAGAATCGTTTTGCTTTAAATAAATAGTTTAGAACTTTAATCAACTTAAGAATTCCAAGCAATGAACAGAAAATATTTTTTCCATTTCAAATATCACCTAAAATTTTCATGGGAAATATTGTTTTAATATGATTTCATTCATAAGAAAAAAAAGATTTTGGAAAGGGGAAAGAAGGAACTGTGGAACCGTCTGAAGATTGACCTAAAATCGAGATGCAATTTTCCCACAGAAACATAAAAAGAAAGAAAAAAGTTGTTTTTTCGAAAATTGAGAAGAGTGAATTCTACTAGGCTCACATGATTCGTAGCAGTTGTAAGCAGTTTTGTGTAGTCGCTAAAACCTTTCAGTTGTGACATAATACAAAGTTTTCTTTTACTAATACATATCACGCACGACTTATACTGTTTCATTCTCGAGTGAAGTGCGTTTAAATACAGCGAAATACACAACATTTCATATAAAACAACTCAAATTTTATACGAAATTCAAACAAACTTTATTCAATTGTCATCTAAAATTCAAAACATTTAATTATTGTTGACTCTTAATTGTAAAATTTTAATACAACTTAATGAATTTTAATAATTTTAATGTGAAAGAAGTTTTTACAAAAATTCATAATTCTTCAAAATTTTCACTCGAGTCACAGTACCAGGCGCTACAAATCATAACAGGGAACAAACCATAAGTAGAGAACGTACAGAATCGTAAACAACTAACCATTTTCTTTTCTTTTATTTTAATTTAGGAAGTTTAAGGCGATACTTCGCACTTTCTGAGTTGACATTTAAAAAATATTTTAATCATTTAATAATTTAATGTAGAATGTTGTTATCGGTTTATTATTATTCATATTATGAAATTGAATTTGATTTGAAGTGAATGAAAGTGAAATTTAAAATGATAGCGATGCGAAATTGTTTACGTGCATTTCATTTGTCGTCGACGCTCCATTTTCAAAGAAATTCCTTTATTTTTAAAATGAAGTTTGAAAATTATTTCACCATAGACTTTATTTTAAATATAATTTCCATAAACATATCCCATAATTTAATATTTTGTTATATTTCGAGTGACCTTGACATCCAGATCAAACCTTTTACTTCGTCTTTCATTTCAGCGGTGTTAGACCTACGGACAAAAATTTTTCAGAGTTCCCTTTCTTCTGTCTCTAAACGAAAACCATCAACAATCATCATTGATAAAAAAAATAAATATATTCGCTCTCAACCAGCTTGATTCCAGAGTTGCCGTTTTTTTACTTGTCTTGCGACTTGCTTGTATGGGCCAAGCAAGAGAAATGTTTGACTTGGGAAGAAAAATTTAAGCAAGTCGCGCGTTTCATACTAAGAACTCATAACATTCAGCAACACCGTAAAATGATGAAATGTAAAAAAATATATTTTAGAGTGAGAAAACAATGCTTCGATGTTTCCGTCTCACTTATTTTATTACTTTAATGTATCATCAAAATGTTGCAACATTGAAAACATTACAACGAAACATTCAACAATAACATTAAATGATTTCGTAAAACAGCAATTGAAAGCTTTAATAATCATTAATTATGCTAAACTTGAATGAACTGCTAAACCTAAATTCTTTCAAATCTTGTTAAGATTCTGCAAGAAATTTTTAATCTTCATCTCAATATCAGTTTAATTGATGATTTGACGATAAATACATGATGGAAATTATTGAATGAAAGTTTTCTGTAATAAAATACTTGAATGAGAATATAGTCGAACTCTTCACCACGTGGTAAATGTTTAAGTATTAGTAATAAAATACTTGTAAATACAAAATTGCATAATTTATTTCTCGTGTGTGAAGCACCTGTTGGCTATTTGCTTCTATTAATTGAGCTGATCAGATGTTAATCTCTTTTTTTCTATTTCCAGTTGAAATATATAATTAATTCTAAACTGACCAATTCCAAGGAATTATGGTTAATTTTCTTTCTGTTACTCAATGTTAAATATATTATCAATCAGCAGATGGAAGTGATCATGGAAAGCTATGTTGTTTGTTGCTATAATTGCTACCTTCAAACGAGTAGAATGTTTGTTTCTCATCAACCAACGCTCGTTCGTAAAACTGTAGACCTAGACAGATTAGTTGATTATGATTTATGCGATGACTTGGGGAAGTAAACAGGTTTATATTTTTTGATCATCTTTGACCGTTCAACAAATTTATGGCTCAATTTCTTTTCTTTTATCCGATACTGGTTGTTGTTTCTAGTGATTAAACATCACAAGTTTATCTTCTATTCGTGTCTAGTTTTTTTACGTTCTTTCTTTTAATAAACTTGCAGATGTTTCTCAATAACTTTTTTTTTGTTCTTTCTTAATTTTATTCTAAGGAAAACCAAGCACATTTCCTTTCCTTAAGTTTCCGTTCTTTTTTTCAATTTTTTGGCGCATGAGTTAACGACTTTGCCAAGGTGTTCATTAAATGAATATTTCTAATGACTTTCAATAAAATAAAATAAAAAGATATTGAAGAAAAAGACAAATGGCAAATTTTACCGCATCAATAAAAGAGCCAACTAAGAACATTAACATTAAACAAGCACGAACACATCCGTCAGCCAGATGGCTAGATCCCCGGTTTTTGATAAGAAATTCATTTCTTTTAATTGAAATTAAAATTATAACAGGAACAATTGTTCCAGGCTCTACTGAAACGTAAAGAAATTATCAGAATTTCTCCATCACACACCACTCTGTCTTGTTTAATTTAGACATTTAACAACAACAGGAAGGAAATTGTTTAAACGCTGCTGTTTTAATGATACAAATAAACAGGCGAGACGAGGATGGAACACACAGCATCATCATCATCAATAGCAGCTAAAACAGTTGCATTCGAGGAAAAGAAATTCTTTTCAATTATCAAAGGCATTAAACTTTCCTCTCTCTCACTCTCTCTTTCTTTTAGTTTTTTTTTCAGAAGTATTTTTGGATTTAATGCCTTCACTCGTTTTTTTCGTCGTATTTAATTGAATAACACGCGACACCGACAGAAAACAATTTTAAATGTGACGAAAAAGATGTTCATGCTTTACAACTTGATTTTTCTTCCCGTTAATGCCTCGTGCACATATTCCGTGATTATACTTTTCATTCACTTGATACTATTAAAGTCCAAAGTCATTTATCTTATTTCTTTCTTTCCGTGGTGATGATATGCTTATTTCCTTTAAGAGAATGCGAGGGTGGAAAAGCGAGATGACAAATAAATTTATTAATTGAATAATTTGATATAATTACAGGATGCTGAAAAACAAAGTCTTATGCCATCCATCCAATGCTTTGTTGATTTATTGGCACCGGAATTAGCCAATTTATGTGGCTGTTTGTTTCTCGCTATCTTACTTTCAATGCGTGTTGAAATTATTTAAACCTTTGTCAAGTGAATGAGAATAAAAAGTGTGACATAAAAGATGGGAATGTATGATGAACAGAACCGCAACCGAACCGGTGAAGACGATAAACGGCGGATTGCTTCACCTGTTCATTTCACGATGAAAAATGAAACAATATATTTAAGGGAATAATTAGTTACATGGAAATATTAGAATTGGATAATGAAAGTTATTTTGCGCTTTCGTTTCATTCACCACAATTGCCTGCAACTTTATCAGCTTTAATGTTCATGTAATGTAATTTTTTTGTTGCTTCTTCTCTTTGACGTTCAACACGAGCGTGTTATTAAATAATAAAATGCTCAGCTGTACTAAGCGAAGAAGTGCTTATTGTACGTGCGATCAAATGTAAGGAGAATTTGTGTATTTATTGTTTAAAGACGAATGACGAAGCGTAGCCATTTACTGATAGTAATCAGTAAAGGATAATAAATATGCAGTGGCAAGAAAAATGTTGAAATTGTTTTTGAATAATAATTCGGGCACACACTGACTGTTGTAATTTTTTTAATAACATGTGACGCAAATTTTGGTAGATATTTAGGCACAATTAAAGCGAGTCTTAAAAGCATTTTAAACTTAAAGAAGATCAACCTTGATATGATTTATCGCAACATTGGTCGTGTCAAGGAATTTAAAGATATAAAAATTCATTTAACATTTTTATGTCAGTTTTTAAGATAAAAATTGTCAAAACTTTTAATGAATCACTGGCTAGATTTAAATAACAAATTTTTCAGAACGGAATTACGAATCGTAAATTAAATTTCAACAGTTCGTAAAACGATTCCCACTTGATATCACGACCGAAAAAATGTTACAACATATGAGTTCTTAATATCTATTTGAAATCTTTATGGTCATCTCTTTGAACTGTATGTGAAAGTGTTCTACACCTGTTCCCAGCTCATGATGTTCCTTAAATATTTCAGATCATTTTAAAGAAAAATGTCTGAACATCGAAAGGAGAATGAGAAGAAACTAATTTAGTTTGACGAGACATAAAGCATTCCTTTAACAAATGCGCTTCATCTTCTTTCTTGTCGCGTCTGCGATGTGAAAAAAAATTCCACCGTAGAAAATCCACTCAACAGACTCACGTTAATTGAGTGGAAAATAATTTTAAATAGATACTAACCCTAATGCGCTAATGTGATGCGCTAAAAATATCACACGAGAATCATCGTTAGGATTAAATGTGTGCGCGGTTGAAGGTGTAATTTGAAAGAGTCGACTTGTAGCTCATCTAAATTGACGGGACGTGATGTTTTGTTGATTCCGAATATTAACCACATGAACAATCCCGATAAATGTTTGAATTTCAAATTAAACAATGTTGATCTTTGATTGCTTCATGTCACCACCAATAATTCATCAACATTCTCAAGAGACTTTATTTTCATTTTTTACTTCTATTAATTACATTAAAGTCATCCATTTGTTCGTCATTCCAGCCGCAAAAAATCATAAATTTGTCCCGATATATTTCATTTTTTTGTGTTGTGTCATGTTTTCCACTTCGTTTCGTTTTTCACAAACAAGAAAATTAATTTCGTTGCAAATTAAAATCAACTTTTCGTTAAAAGCCGCGTAATATTCAACTGGGAGTAAAAAACAGATTTATGAAACCGCAATATGTGTGAAGTTTGATCTTCAACATTAGACTTAAGTCAAGACAAATTTATTACAATCACCTAACAGATGAACTGTGAGACGATTGTTGAAGATGAGCCAAATTGAGGCATAATTTGAATAATTTATGGACTTTTTGTTTTTCTTGGCTTTTCCTAGGGTTGCAGTGCCACCAACATTTATTTTAATGGGTTCAACATATGAACATAAACCATATGAAGCATTTTCCAGATATTAACATGCGCCCTAACTAAATTGAAATTAAAATATTGTAATTGATGCGGATAGGAACATGTTGGTTGAGAATCTTTTTTTATGTTGTTGATTGCTGGCAAGACTTCACATTAATATCCATTTAAAAAACGAAAGAGTGTTAAGTTGTTAGATTTTCCTTTCTTTTAAACATCTTTACTCTTACGCATGTCATTGAAATGGAAGGAAGAACTGTAGACCATGAAGAAAATCTTTTTCTATTTATTCTCTAATGTGAATAGCTCCAATGTCATTCTGTTGAAGTGATGCCGACGCTAGATGCATATATTTCCATGTTTCCGTTCAGATGCAAGTGATCTCAAAACAGGAAATAATATAACCAGAAAAAGAGTTGACTAATTATAGAAAGTTTTGTGATAAATTTAAGATTTATAAAAGGAAGAAAGAAGAATTTGTCTGTCTGAAAATGTTGAGTCTAAAACAGTTTGTTCCGTTATGGAAAATCGTAATATCTAATTAGAATTCCTACGAAATTTCAATGCATTTTTTTATTGAATCCTTTTTGCTTTAAATCCATAATTTTTTATTATCTGGAAGAATTTAATCATCGTGATCATAAAAACATCATAAACGTGGTCCAATCACTTCGAAAACTTTATTAAAACTTTATTAAAACGGAGAATCAAGAAGTCTTCAACTTTATAGTGGCTTAATGACGTATTGAGATGAATATCTTTATAGCCATTGGGCTTAATCGTGATCGTTGCGCGAAATTGTTCTTGAAACTTCAGCTAGTTATGGTCTCACCAGAATCATTCCCAATAATTATTTCATTATGATTCTCTTAGATCTGAAGATCCATCATAATTTTACACCGACGAGATATTCGCAAGTGGGCGGACTGAGGAAGAAGAAAAATAAAAACATGAAAATATCGAAGATTTGTTTTGATTTAAAGAGAAAACACAAAACATCTATCAGAAGGAAAAAAGATGTTCTTGATAAAATAAAAAATAATCTTTTTTTGATTAATGACTACAACAGCGAAATATGCGTTTTATAGTGAAATTCTTCTGTCTTAAACATCTAACAACAAAAAAAAAGAAATATTTGAGTTGCAAAAAGAAAAATTGTCGATAATTTGTCGGAGCAAACAAGAAGTTGTTTTATTATTATTTTTTTTTGTGTTGATATGCTTTCGATTTCCTCGTGTTTAATACTTGCTGCTGGTATTAACAGAAAACATTCCATCGAATTATGTTGAAATTACATATTTTATGATATTATTAAAAGCATTAAACAATGTTGAAGTTGTTTCATGCTACTGTGCTTGCTACCTTCTGCAATCAATTTAACGAAAGATTAGTTTGAATTGAAGTTGATTAAATTGTTTCTCAAATTCTTAATAAAAGTTAGAATAATTAGGCAACACTTAGATGCCATATGGTTGTAATTTCCTCAGATAAATTCCACAATGAGAAGAACTATTTTAAAAGAAGTAAAAAAGGAGAGAAGAAGAGAAGTCTGTGATGTCTCATGCAAACCTCAAGTTGTCATTATTAATAAGCGAAATACATGAAAGTAGGTGGCAAAATATTTTTAAAATTCTTTTTCTTTCATAAAACTCACCAGCTGCTGTTTCGGATTTTTAATGTAATTAATTTTCATAGTGAAATGAAACTTGCGCTTCATTATTTCAAAGGTTTCAAACGAAATAATTGAGGTTGTCAGAAGAAACATCGTCTGCAAAACTTAATTAACTTCTCTGGAATGTAAAGCTCTGCTTTTTATCAATTTATGCAAATTTCTTCTTGTCATATTCATATCATCTAGTCGTCTAAAATTATTTCGCAATTAAGCTAATTATAAAAATGTCCACGGGCAATATCTTCCGATTCTTAAGGTTTTTGGTTGACCTGATGAGCCTCGATCCATTCCCACACTTTTATCCATTCAACATCAACTTGAAGCATTCTCAAAACTAAAAAGATTGATAATGATAAACTGAAAGAGTTAATCGCGAAAACAGTAGAGTAATAACTAAGACACGTTTCGCTAGTGGCAACTCTCGATCGATTCAGTTCAATTCTATATCTACTCAAAACAATTATATCAACTCTTTGAACAGAAAGCAAAGGGATATTAATCTCTTCGAGTCGTTTTTTCCACGCCATCAGACGGTGAAAACCAAACAGAAACAACAACATGATGATGAACAACACATCACGAATTATGTCCTCCTAAATATGTATACATTTATGCGATTGAGCGCGAGTGTGGGAAAATATGTTGAAATAATTTTTCCCCGTTGATGGATGTCGAAAAGAAAAAGTTGGCTGGCAATGTTAATGTTATTATCATAATTTATAGAGAAAAAAAGGGAAAACCATCAGATGCTGAAACGCCAAAGGCATGTCGAGAAGCAGCTCTTGATTATTTCACAAAATAAAAAAGGCTTTGGTGAAGAGATACAACAATTTATGATAGTTTTAGATTCATCTGAATTCTTCTTCACATTTGAGTGATGCACCAATTAGGCAATCTTGCTAAGAATGAAAATTGATTCGCGTGCTGAAAATTGCACAAATGTCGTGATTGTTTGGTGTTTGTTTGATGCGAAATTATCATTTTCTGATGAATATTAATATTTAGATGGCTAGATGAAAATGATATTTAAATATTGTGGCAAGTGATCGACGAATCTTCTCTTCTTGTTTCTCTCTTTCTTTATGCTGATACTTATTTTATAAACTGAAACATTAAATATGCGAAATTAAATTAGACGAAAATTAACATGGAAGGAATTTTAATCGCTCTTCGAAGCAGCGGAAATGTCTGATGGGCCATAAATTTAAGCTTCATTTCTGCACAAACAACCACATTTTCCATCATAAATAGCTTGTTGCATCTTGTGGATAAAAGAAAAAATGAAATTAACAAAATTAGAAGTCATAAACATGTGCTTGTTGTGCAAGGTGTTGACGAATGTTGAGATGTTAAGTGAATGATAAGCAAGCAAACTAAGCTGGCAATTTAATGTCGTGCATTTAAATTGAACAATTAATTTGCACTTTTTTACTTCTAAACGGCATGTGGAAAGTTTCTCAACTAATGACTCAAATAAATTTCGTTAACTCACTCCCAAAGAGTTCTCAAATCAAATTAAGCAATTAAACATAAGAAAGATTTTGTTAGAATTGATAAAGAACCAAAAGGTAGACAAACGACAATTTTTCGAAAATGTTTTGTTAAATAAATTTAAAATGCTGCAAGCCGTGATCATGAATCCTTTTTCTAAAGTGAAACTGATGTTCTTATCATAATGTAAGATCTCAAAATAACATTCGTTGTTCGTTTTCCTAAAGTGCAAAGCATTACGTTTCTCAGGCACTTCCCATTTTGGATATTAAGGGAAACTTTTGGAAGTAAAATTGTGCTGTGCTTCTACAAAAACCAGACCCAAGTCTTTACAAATCGTCTTCCCTGCAGTGACGAGGCGCCTGCTTTTGCTTGAACAAAACACATAACTCTAAGTAAGTTTTCTCGTCGACTTCTTTGCTACACAATTTTATGCACCCAATAAAATCTCAACACATCACCATGAACACATTGTTGACTTTAAAAATTCCTTTTTCTCCTTTTTTTTTCATTTATTTCAACAAACAACATTGAGATGATGAGACGCAAAAAACTGGATGTTCAACAGATGGATTGAAAAGCAAGCAACAGTTAAAAAAGATCTATTGGAAGTGTAACTTGAGACATTTCGTCAAGAGGCGGTTCAATGTTTAATTTAGTTGAAAGCGAAGGTCACATTTGATGATGATCATCATTCATTAGGATGATCGTTCGTGGTTGAAACGGAACAAGTTTGAGGGCTTTTTTTTTGTAATCTGATAATGCGCCAAATGGAATGATGATTCAAACATCCTCGTTACAATTATGTTGCATCTTACTTTCTGTATCCAATCCAGGCCCTCGTATGTGTTGTGGGAAAATATTTTTTCCATATAATTTTCTGCACAAAGAAAAAAGCTTTTTCCATGACAGCCATCGGCACTGATGCATTTGCTTGTTTTTTCTTTCTTTCCCTTTCAATTCTCTCATGCACAAATGAAATTGCATTCGCTCCTTGAATTCCATAACTTTTTGTTAATGTTTAATGTTGCTTCTCGCAATGATTTTATGACTCATCATCGGAGATTTTTCGCTGGTCTTAAACAATCTCGTATGCAGATGATGATGATGGTTCTCCGTTGAACTTATTTTTGTGTGGAACTAGAACATAAAAAAGAATGAAAACTGGTCAGAAGAAGAGCTAAGCCCTCGTTTGAACCCGCATCTAAATTGAATAATTTCTCGGAAATTTTAAAGCAAACCGAAAAGAAAGAAGAATATTACGAAAAGTTCTCTTTTTTATATTCGCAGAAAAAGGTCGAAAAGTCGGAAAAAGGAGGCAGCAGCAGTAACAGCAGCAACAAAAATATTGCTTAGAGATTGAGACGATAAAAAGGCGAGCAAAAAATCATCCATATGTTGAACACTTGATGTTGATGATGTTGGCAGAGGAAACACAGAGAAAGAATCAACCATCGGACTCAGATGTGGCGACAAAAGTTCCTAGAATGGTTTCGGGGGTTTCGTTTTATGGTAAATGTGTTTAACAGCCGATCTGTTTCTACAACTCATTAACTGATAGATAATTTCTCTACTTGAGAAGACTGCTGCATATGTTGTGTTGAGATTGAATTCTTGTTTCCTGTTTTAAACAAGTCCACAAGGAAAGATTGTTATTTATGCAAAATTATGTTAAGCATGTTGTAGCATGAATCGAATGTTTTGTTTAAGTTCTTCTAAGAAAATTTCGACCTCCCAATAACCGCATTTTTGAAGTTGACTGAATCATTCAAAAACTCATTTTGCTAACAAAACATTCAATCTAAATAGGACAGATGGGAATTGTCTCTCGAAATATTTCCCGCCAAGGGAGGAGAATAAACGCTTCTAACCGTGAAAGACGTTTTTGCCTTCACATTGTAAACTGATCTGTAGATTGGAAAACGAGCGATGAATAGAAGGCAGCAGCAAAGGGAGGAACAAGTGTGTATCCTAAAATAATAAATTATAAATAGCACCGTATAAATGAACAATAAAAGTTATAAGTCGATTTGAACAATAGAATCAACGATGATAGAGTCAGGTTCTCGATTCTCTTTTTCTTTCTTTTGTAATAAAAGAAAAATGGGCAAGGGAAGAATTCTTTCTTTCTTTATTTTTACTTTTTTCCTTGGAAAACCGTCTCGTAGTGATATCAAAAGTGGAGAAATTTCTATGAGAAATAAAATTGAAAAAAGGTAGAATTTTTTTTTATTTTGCGTTCAGATGTCGGTTTGGGAAGGTAAACGAAGGAAAATATCTTTTGCGTCATCTTTTTTGTTGAAGAATATCTAATAAAATGTTAAACGCAATATTTTAGAAACAAATCGCACCTGCTTTGAAAGCAATTCTTATGTTGCTTTTTTTATTTCTCTTCTTTAAAAATCATTTTAAGAATGACGAAGTCAAATGGAAGATTGACGAATGTACATACTTAAATTGCCTAAACCCAACTGCTTGTAAGAATTCCATAATTTGCTTGTCAACATTTTTTTATCTTCTTTTGAAACGAAACGTTTTATGAAAAGCATTAGAAAATATTTTGGCAAATTTTTATGACCATAAAGTCAGGTTACACATGTCCATTGAGCGACATGACGAGAATAAGAAATTATTTAATTGTTCATTCATTTAACTTTCAAAATAAGCCAAAACAATTCCGTCATCATCATCAAACACATTTTTTTTGTGTTTTGCATAAATTTGCATAAAACTTACATTCGCCTTGCTCTGTTCTGCATGTTTATTGGCGTTTGTTTTAATGATGTCGGTGATCATTCGCTTGATTTTGGATGAAGAATTTCAGTTTTGTTTGAAGTTGTAAAAGAAGTCAGTAATGATCTGAAATCAACTAACAAATCTCTTGTCATAAAGAATCAAACGCCTCTATCGTCCCAACTGCGGCGCCGTAGCCACAGAAAAAAATCAACAAAAGAATGAAATGATTCTTCTTCCTTTTATGTAAGAAATCAAATCTTCGCACTTTGTGTTAACACTCGAGCAGGTTCTTGGCTCCTCTAATTTCTTAAAAGGCGATTGCTATTGTGTAAATGAAATCGCCGTCGAGACCGAAGCAGACAAGAAAAGAAAACAATTTTGTTCTGTTTTTTGTGTGATATTCTGTTAGACAATCGAACAGTTGGGATTCTGAAGATCCACAATAAAAAAGATTTGCAAGAGAACTTTTTTATTCTTTCGTCTGACATTTTAAAATCTTTGGAGAGAAATTAGGTGAGTGACGCCGACACATAGGAAGAGATCATAAACAACCAAAGATCTTTTTAATTGTCTTTGCTGTCTTTAATTATGTTTGGCAATCAAGTCACGGTTGCTTTCATAATTTATTATTAATGTCATCTGAAGATTACCTTCGTTAAACATTCATCGAATCATCTTTCAATAAAATTAAGGAAACAACGAGAGAAAAGTTTTTTTTTAAATTATTAATCAAAATTGACAAACAATCAAATTAATTCTCTAAACTAAGAAATGAGTCGTAATCTCTTAGTCGCGTCTGTCATTTAAAAGAGTCAGAAAATAATCATGTGATGAGATGAAGACGAGAAAAAAAGATGTTTAACATAAAACAGAAACTTGTCTGTTTCTATGAAACTCATAAATCAATTTGAATATAGCGTGCGTTAGATCTATTGCTATGTTAGACATAAATAAATATCTGAGGCATTATGATAGTTTCTGTTGAGCAAAGAAGACTTAACAACCTTCCGCCTTATCCCTCAACAAGTGCTAAAGCTCTTTAAAGATGCACGCATGCAATGTTGTCTTGAGATATCATCATAAACTGATGATCTTTCATCTCTAGTCAAAGATTTAAATCGTTTCACATTAATTTATTGCTTTTGTTTTTTTGGGCATCATCAAAGTTTATGTTTGACAAGATTGCTATTTTGACTCGAAGATTATTATCATTAGCTGTGTTTAAGAGAAATATCAAATGATTTTAAATGCCATTTATTCAACATTAAAACCTTTTTGTTCTTCTTGTGATTGTAAATTATACATTTGTTGCAGCAAATCTCGTCCAGACAAAGATTGTGCAAGGAAATTCCGCGAAAAAGTCTCATCATTGAAGCAAATCTCCGTTCATAAAAAATTGTATCATTTAAGAAAGGAAATTTTCTTTAAAAGTTTTCGGCTTCTTTAATGCAACACTGGAGGATATTAAGGAGAACGAACAACTCTTGATCTCGACAAAGATCTATTTTATAAATTTATGATTTTATGAAATGTTGAAACATTTTTGATTCCAAGATATATGTTTCTCAAATGTATAATTATCATGGATGATATACACTCGGAGATCATCCCTTTCGTTGTTGAATTCACTGCCAGATTTTTAAGATTTCTGTCGGCATTTTGATTCCCACACTCATTTTTCCGCTTAAGCAGGAATATGAGTCTGCTAATGCTTTATGCCACTTGAACTTCATTTTGGGTTAATTATTTGATTGAAAACAACGAAGAAGATTTGTTACAAAATGCTTGGTTTGTTCACTCGAGTCGAGTGCTGTGAGAAAAGTTTCATAACAATAAGTAAGTGACTTTCTATGCAAACATCTGGAATTGTTATTACGATAAAAATCGACAACATGTCCTCAACATGTTCCCACTTCTCATTAAAAAATTCTTCTCATCACTTCCAGTGTTGTTCTTGGAATTATCTGTGACATGACAAAATAAGTTTCTAAAATGTTCATTAAGTTTTAGAGTTTGCAAAACACTTGAAATGAAGTGAAATGATCACACGCGTTGTTCAAAGTTTCAGCTTGAAAAATATTCCAATAGAAATAGTTACAAGATTTAAAAGCTTTTCGTCTGAATTCTTGTAATCACTCAAACACCATTAGGCAGACAACCAAATAACAAAACAAATCACTACCGCGTGTGCGTTTGTTTCATTCGCTATTCAAAACAATAAAAACTGTTTGTTCGCAAGGAAAATTTGTGTCTACCATGTGAAGAGATTTATCATCATGAAAAATACCTCAAATTACAAAAACAATAATTTTTGGGCCGCGCAGACAAAAATATACTTAAATTTAATTGTTTGAAGCATCATCACAAAGATTTTCATTTCAACTTTTATTCGTTTTTTTTTCGCGCTTAAGGCAGGCAGCAAAACTTTTAATACGACCAACAGATGTGGTTTTAACTGAGAGATTCTCGAAATGAAAAAAGTGAAAAGAAAAACAATTTTTGTTAACGATACAAAGCAACAATCCGAGATCCACTCGACTACTGCTAATGTTTGAAAATATTTTCACATTTTTTAATATTTATTCAAATGGTCGTTGGTAGCGAATGACAATTTAATTCCTGCCGACCGTATTTTCTGCGTTTTAGGTTCGAGTTGAAACTGACAGAACACCTGATACAGGGAAAACAATCTGTCGGTCGTCTTTTTTTTATTCTACACTTTTCTAACCATTTAACCTTCGATCGTTTTTTAAAAACCTTAAAACAATAATTTTTTAGGACTTCCTTTTCCAATCCCGTACAGAAACTTCGCAAACGTTTCTTAATCCGGAAACAGTTTGAAGGGAAATGATGTTACGGAAGATAATTGAAGGAATTCCTTCCTTTTGTAAGTCTCGGAAGTTTCAGGTTTGAAAACTTATTCAGATAATCTACGGAATATTTTTTTCCACTGATTTCTTTCAACACTACAAAGTTAAAACTAAAAATCATTCAATAATTTCCATTGTATGCAAAAATCTGAGCCACACGAACAATCTTAAAGCAAGAATGAAAATTACTTGTTTGTGAATTGTTAATTGATGTGTTCATGACTTTTAAAGCACTTTAGAGTTCAAAGATTTCATTTCTCGACTTTATGCGACACGCCACGTCTCATGACGTGAAGGCGACAGAAATAATAAAATTCACAGCCTGTGAATGCTTTCCATAAATATTTCGTTAAATCATATTTCTGATTGTTTACACTCGTAGTTCATGCCGACTTATGACTTGTTTTACTTGAATTAAACACAAGATTTTAAACAAACATGTACTATAATTTAATTTTTCACCTCACAAATGCGTCCATCAAAATGTTTTCGGTTGGTGTTAGTAGCCTGAAATATCTTCTGGCGTCTGAAGAATAAGAACACAAGAAATAAATATTTGCATACAATGACTTGAACATTTTCAATTGAATTTCGCTCTTTTTGATTGAATTTCATGTCCAATGGTTATAATATTTAAGATAGTTGTTGAAGCATATGGCACAATAAAGGATAACAACAACAGATATTGATAGATTCACAAGAATTGTATATTCAAGACATGATGTCGAAGTCAAGCACACATTGAAACATATCTACATCACCTGTATCAATATTATTCGAGTTTCGTGTCGCAAATTAAACAAAAGAATGAAATAGATATCGACATGCTTATGATATAGCAGCTGGCGTTATGACAGCTTGTATAAGATGTTTAATTACACTCACTGAATTCAATGAAACAAAGAACAAAGTTGTAAGAAGAAATGTCATTAAAACTTCTTTCAGTGTCGCCATAATTAGTGAGGATTATTATATTTCTTTAGCATAGACAATCCCCGATGTTTTGATTGCAACAAGTGCACTTTCTCTGCAAAAACCTGTCTGCAGTCATAGCAAAATTCTAGTGAAAAAAGAATTTATAAGGTCAGTGTAAATCGATTTAAGGGATCGGATCGTGTACAAAATAAGATTCCAGTCATAAAGTTTTATGATAAGTTCACTAAACGCCTTCATGGGGTTGCTGTCTGGAATTCCCAGGTAGATTGTGAATGAAACAGACTTGAGGATTGACACACAACAATGTCTCAATTGTCATCCACGCATATTCTTCCTAGATAATGCCATTGAAAGCAGATATTTCTTTTCTTTTTCCTTTCTGTATATTTTCAACCTGTTCTCGATTCAATTGTGACTTTATTTTCTTCTTAATCTTAAGCAAGCACCGGCTGTGCAATTTTTATACTGTTTAATAAAATAGCAATTTGAGATATTTGAAGAATTTGTTTCTCCTTTCATGTTTCTGAACCCTTGCGTTAAATATCATCGAGGGGTTGAAAAATTTACTTTCGAAAAGGTAAGAACAAAGACATCATCCAATGTAATGGAGAATTACGCCACCTGACACATTCATGGAAGTGGCAGTAGCAACAGAAGACAAAATTGGGTTAAAAAGAAACTGTTTTGAATAATTTTTTTTTTCACCTCTTCCTACTTATTATAATATTACAAGTTGTGATGCTAAACATTCACCCTTCGCATTATTAATAACAATGTTGTGCGTCACTTGAGTAACTTTTTCTTTCTTCATCGAAATTGTAAATTTCATCGCTTTTATTAAGCATCACATCCACGTGAGTCCCTCTTCAGATTTATTAATGGGTTGCAAATATCACATTGTTGTGCATCACGTGTCAAATGAAGCTGCTTCCATAAAGGGGTGCTTACACTTTATGAGTCCTTTCATCATCAACATCTGAGAAAGAGATTATTCTCGAGTAAAAACAACCCACAGTGGACGGCAAGAATGATTTTTGCATTTAATTAATAATCTTGATTGCTTGGCTTTATCCACACATATTGCCATTGCAGCAATGGTTTTTGTCATCTGTTTTAGATGTTCCATTCATGTTTACATGATGAGCTAACACATAAAATATCATCGTTCACATAAAACTGTATGCATGGTAAAGTGTAAGAAGTGACAGAGACGTTGCATGCAATATTTTATGATTTTCTGCCTCCCTTCATCAGTTGTGGTTTCATTTCAATGACGCAAATAACATGTGAATAAGGGTAGAGAGAGACACACAAATTATTTTCATCGTCTGACGCACAAGGTAATGAAACCCTTGGTGTGCTTAGAGAGAGGGAAAGTAATAACAAAGAAAGCGAGAGAGAGAGAAAGTGACATAGGACAACGTCTCGTCACGTGCTGTAAATGCATTTTCGTATATCTAACGTCATTAAGTTATTATTAAAAAAATAAAGCGAAAAATAGAAAATCTTCTCCCTTCATGTTATCATTTTATCGTCGAGTGTTTGAAAGATAATTGGATGGTACGATTCGAAATAAATCAAATTTTGATTGTAAATATTTTCTCTAGAAACATGAATCAATAGCGAAAGGCGATGATGATAAATATATCAGTCAATCGTTGTTGTGTTGGGATTTCTTTCATCTTTTTAACATTGCACAAATATGACAGAAAATATCAAATGACAAAATCAAGGGAAATGAGATGATGACGATGATTTCATAATAGAAAATATTTTTTAAGGGATGTTCGTGGAATATTTTCAAGAATTCATCCATGAAAGTCGCCTTTAAATAAGATCCTTTTCTCGCTTTACTTACATAAATCGAGCAAACAATAAAAGGAAAGGTCCTTGGATTTTTAACACATCATTTCATCGTTTATTGAACAGCAAATAAATCGAGCGATGTGACGAAAGAATAAATTTGAAATATGTAAACTGACCTGAAAAAAAATGTTGAAAATGAAGACGATAATGAAAAGACAAACAGAGGCTGATAAAAAAGGCTTTTTTTGAAAGAGAAGGAGAAAATATGTTTTTGATCTTTTTTAAGATTAAGCAGGTGTTTTGAAAGGTTTCATATCGTCTTTATACTTAAAAGTGAATATCTTAGCGATGAAATATTTTATCGTCATTTTAACGTCTTTTTCTTGGGAATCAGTTGACGTAGATGCGATTTGAAATGAAATTTTACACTCTCGGGACTCAATCGAGTCGCTCCATTAAGAAAGATCAGAGAAAATAAGACTATTTGTTTGCGGATTGTACCATTCATCCACTTTGCGAGTTATTAAAAGAGTCAAGCAATGGAAATTTCATTTCATGTAAAGAAAGTTAATAAAACTCATTTTTGAAAGCATTACGAGCTGCAGTTGAGAAATGTCTTGATTGCAGTCACACAAACAGCGAAGCGTAGGTTTTAACGAGGCGCCCCATCTGTAGAACGCAACATCTCCGACCAGATTCTTCTTCTCAACGCAACCCGTCGTTTTATTATAGGTAGTTTTATTAAATATATTTAAAACAACGTTCGGTTGACTCTCTTTCTTGTTCGTTCATTCGTTCGCATGACTCTCGACAGCTTATCATTCCATTCTAACCTTCATAGCTAACGTACATTTGTAAATATCTTGAACATATGTTTCTCTCTCGTTTCTCTATTCGGTTGCTCACTTGCATGCCGCATAACTAAACAGAAAAGCAGACAAGCAGCAAATCGTGAGCCGAAAAGGAGAAAAGAAAATTTACGAGAGAGAATCGACAGAGTAATTTCAACGAAGTCTGCTTCACAGTTTCATAGAAGTTTTGTTGATGAAACCAAACGGACGTTTGTTCTTGCATAAAATAAATTCATTAAGAAAAGAATTTATTTAAAAAATATTTAAAAAACTAAGAAAATTGCAAAAGGTTTTGATTTTGCTTTCATTCAAAATTAAAAAAAATTGAACTGTGAATTGAAATTATTTTAATTGTGAAGTGTTTCGATTAAAGGAGGAAAAATAAAAATCTTAACGAACAAACATTTTTGGATAATCTCGAATAAAGAAGGAAGGAAAATTGTGAAGAAAAGTTCGTAAAAAGAAATCATGAACAGTTTTGGTAGAATGTATCCCAACTTGAGTGCTTCAGACTTATCAAACATCATAATGAAAGGCAAAGGTAAGGAAATCAACTATTTATTCTGTTTAGCCAGCCGGTGAAAGATATTTTTATCAAGATATTTTGCGTTCTTATTGCGACATTGACAAGAAAAATGAAAATTATCTGCTGATCATTTCCAGAAAATTGTCAACTTTCTCATATCTCAATTGTTCAAGTGATAAATAAACAAAATCAGAAAAATGTTTTTTGTTATCAAAACTCGTTTAGATATTTCTGAACCAAGTCCTTCAATGACTTTGCACAAAATCTTAAAAAAAAAGTTGCACAAGCCGCGTGTTCTTTAATTTATAATTCTAATGTTCGAGATTTCTTCAACTTTGTATTCGTCATGATGATGTTTTGTCTGCGACTGAATAGATGAAATGTGACGAGTAGCTTAATCGCCTTCTTTTGATTATCACATTAATGAAAATGTTTTTAGTAAATGACTTTGCGGTGTTAAATTAAGCGTGGCGTTAGAAGTAAAAGAAGAATTCTATGAAAGTAAAATTAAACATTTACGTAAATCTCTCTAATTTTTTAAATATTATCTGTCATCACTGGCAGATTACAATTCACAGATTTCTTCGAATCAATAAACAAATAAACTATTTAAATATTAAAGTGTAACAAAATTTCAAAATGCGTATCGAAACTCTTTTAACAGTCATCGCAATATCTGTTCTAAATAACTTTTGTTACTTCAAGTCAAGTGTTATATATTTATTTGTGTACATTATAAGTTAGTTAAAGCGAATTTATGAATTTCAATATCACCGAGAATAGAAGCAGAAATAAAAGTTGGACAGATGGCGTCGAAGAAGGGAAACAAGAAACATTTCTAGATAAAAGTTGACAATATCTATCGCAATATGACGCTATCATCTCTGCAATGGAGATTTTCAAAGGAGGAAACTCTTTCACTTCCTTGCTTTTCACCCACGACAACATTTGCTTGACTTGTGAATTATTAGATGCATACAACAGTTTTAATCATTTTCAATGAAACAACTCAATCAAAAGTAATAATAATGATTTCCATTGATTGTCATAAGGAATGCAGTGGTATTGTTGCAAGTCTTTTATATTCTTGACACTTAAAATTTCCGTAAAATAAAGACAATAAGTTATTGGAAAATATGACATTTATTATAATGGTTGAAGTTTAAAAATGTAGTAATAAAAAGCATTGAATGACACCTGTTACATGTTTCAATGCAATAAACAAGAATCGTTGTACACGACAATATTTAATATAATAATCGATAAAACATCGTCCGATATAAAGTTGAAATGATTTCGTCTTAAGAATTTTCAATAAATACTTCCACAAATATTTATAAAATTTTTTAATATTTTGCAACATATTGCAACAATGTTTGTCGTATGCTTTTTTAATTGTCTGACATGTAAGTAATTGATTTCATTCACGTTTTGATTTAAGATTTAAGTTTACTTATTGCTTAAAGATATTTTTATGTGAATAAATTATTTGAATTATGTGTTATCATCTGATTTTGCCTGAGGTAATATTCTGAAAAAACGTCACACTTCTTACCTTGATATGTACAGAAATAAAAAATTAATTATTTCAATTGTCTGTAAATAATATGAAATTGACCAGAAAGAAATAAATTAATCAAATCAGCCCTAACGGCAGACCAGAACTTGTTTGAGTTTAGACTTGTTTACGAGACATCTGGAAATGACTGATGCAATTATCCAGTCGACTTACATCGTTGCGCATTATTACGTTGAAATTAATATTCAAATTATATGTAAGTTTAGAATTAATCGAAGTGAGATTTATAAGTATGTAAAATGGAAATAACAACAAGCGCCAGAGTGCTGTGTGAAGGCAAAGAAAATGTGTTTACACTTTTAATAATAATAAGTTTTTATAGTTGAATGCTTCATTAATCACGAAGCGATATTGCACTTCCCTATTCTCGATTTTAAATAATCATCTCTCCGACTCGACTCCTTCAAAGCCAATCGACGATTTATTTTAATTAATAACAAACAGCAACTTAGAAATTGGAAATTACAAACATTTTTATACGTTTCATTGGAAATTTAATGTTTTTAGCTCAACAAACGTTTGCTTTAGCCTCACTTTGACCAGATGTTCAATACTAAATATGTTCATCCATCCACCATCACGTAAGAGTTGCCTGCGTAAAGCGATTTCATCAGAAATATTGTTTACACTACACAGACTCATTTCCATATGGAAGCACTTTGATTGAGTCTGAAATAATTGCTTTTATGTCTTTCGATATCTCATCCCGAGAATTCTTCTTTTATTGCGAAATCAGCATGCAAATGATGATTTTAAAAATCTGGATTGAAACCAGATGAATGTGAACCGTGAAATTTGTTTTTAAATATTCTTTCAACTAGTCATTAAGCACAATTTAGTGTAATTAATACGCCCACATGTTTTCAATATTTCTTCTGTTTGCTTTTCATTCTTTTCTTTCTCAACTTTAGTGATGATAAAAAAGTGTGAAAAATCAAACCACAAATCGTTAAATATTCGACGACTGGTAACATGATTCCTGATGCGATACAGATTGTTTTGTGTATGATTAAAGCATATTTAGAGAAACGAACGTAAAGAAATCGCTACATTTAGTTGAGTCGAGTTCGAGTTCGAGTCGCATAAATAAACATTTTCAATGCTTTTGCTTGTGCTTGGCTTGTTAAGACGTTGTTGCCTGCCCCAGAAAGTCATATTTAATTGAACGTCAGTGGATAATTGGCTGAGTGAAAGAGCGCTGCTCCCTTGCATCGCCAAATGACACATGCTTAATTATTTCTCGTTATTAACTCACACGTATCGCAGATAAACAGCATAATTTATAATGAAGCATAGCATTATGAGACGACAGCGTTCATTCAATTTTGCGTATCTTAATGCTTCATTTTTGTCTTTCTTTTCTCATTCTACTTCTTCTGCTTGCTTAGCATTCAACTAATCAGTAAAACATGTGCACAAGTCTTCCGAACTATAAAAGTCGACTTCGGTTTTGTTCAACGACGAGATTTATCATTTGAATGGGTTTCTGGTCTTCAGATATTTTTTTTTTGGATAATAAAGAAACAGCAGAGAGAATCAAGAATGAGATCCATATGGGGAAAATGTTGTTGTTAAAGTAAAAAAAAGAAGAAGTCGAGAAACTGCTAAATTTCGCTGTTATTGTTGTTGTCGAAAAGAAATCTGCGCCGCTTGTCTCCTATCCACATTATATCCATTCCTTTGCTTCGTATCCCCGTATTAAGAGAAGTTCTCGAATGTGTTTATGGTAATATCATATTAGAAGAGAAAAAAAAGGGAGAAAAAGAAATAAGCGAAAAATATGTAATGTAAAAAAAATATAAGAATCGTTTGTCGAAAAAGAGTCGAGACATTTTAGCAGAAATCTGTTGGCGCCGTAAGTTAAAAATATATTTTTTTATTCTCTTCTCTCTTCTCGTCTTGTATGCGAGCACACCAGCCGCCTTTCATCCTCCACCGCGGGTGACTGTATATGAAGTCAATTCTCAGTGGCTGGTCACCTTCGTGAACTTTTACACTATTGTCAGTGAATCTTCTTTTTCATTAAAACACAAAACGATATTTAAGTCTTGATAGTTTCTGAGTGTGATCATCCCGCAAATAACAGAAGAGGAAAAAACTACTCGTTTACTGATTAAAATGAACGCTAACCGCAGTCAGTTGAGATGGGTCAACAGCAGTTAAAATAACAAGCAATAAACGACGGTTTTCGATTTTTTTTTTGCACAAACTGTTTGTTTGTCTGTCGTATCGAGTTGTGGTGAAGCTTTTCAACAAATTTAATGAAAGAAGTTTTTTTTTGTGTAACCAAATGAACTTTAAACATGAACGCATCACAGCATTCCTCGAGATCCGAAAATTCATGTTTTGTGCCTTTTGAAATTTTAATGATCGTATCGTTGATTCACTAATAGCTTTATTTCGAGCGAACCTTGAGACAGAAACGAACAAAAAAACTTCCTTAAAGTGGAATTGTTGTCATGACAACTGAAAAAGTGCACTAATTGCGCAACTGTGTTGCAATTATTATTATTTCTATATTTATAAGAATGAAAAGTATCTAAATGGAACAAAATTACGTCGTTGACTTAGTTTTTTGATGAATGAATAAAAAACATTTTTAATTGATCAACATCGTCTACAAAGTGTATAACGGGAACTTGACAAAACTTAGACACATCTTCATAACTGCAGTTTGTGTCACGAGCTAATTCCAATTTATCGAAATGTTATGAAAACAATAAATTTTTATGAGGCAACGATGAGTAAATTTTTCCTTGTTCATTCGACAAATAAACAGCAAAATAAGATTTTTCTGGTAGTCATAGTCAGTAAAAAAATCATCATTTTTAAAGCAAAGTTATGCGTGGGCGTAGCAATTTAAGAAATCTTAAAATTATCTATGTGAGATTTTGTTTGTTATATATTTAAACCTTTTCTTGTGACACAACAAAGCGCCAGACGGTGAGAGAAATTTATCATTTGTTGACACTTAATAACTTTAATCAAACTCAACTTAAATAGAAGAAATCAAAAATTATTAGGTTTACATCAATCGCCTCGAAGTTCGAGGTTAATTGAGCTTGAATCAAAAAGATATACAATCGAATGCACATAAATTATCGTTCGCATGGTCTTGATGAAAATAAACTTGAATGAAATAAAATGTCAATTGATTGACTTGCTTTTGAAACTAATTACTCTAATATCTCAATTTGTTTTGTTTTCATTGCCAGGTGTCACATCAATGTCGTTGTTGGAAAAAGATGCTGGATTTTGTTCCGGAAGTTCTGAACATGAAGACGATCATCACTCTCATGATGACTTACACAGTCCAACAGATGCATCGGAAGATTCTGTTGAAGTGAAATTCACACCGATCTCAAAGAATAAAAGGAAGAGTTCCGAGCCATCACGAGTGGTGGTTGATCCCGAACAGGGACCACTGAAGAAACGATTCCGATATGAACACAAATTCGAAAATGAATCTCATCATTTAATTAATAGTCACTTTCGTCCATGGGCACCAAGCGATGATAAAGCAAGCCCAGCTGATTTACTTATTCGTCATCCTGCCGTAACGACACTTCATCGAGCCATAACTTCGAATGACATTGAACAAGATCAACCACTTGAATTGGTCTCTAAGAAGTCTTCAATCAGTCAAAGTTCAACGAAACCATCGAAAGCATCTTCATATGAAAGTTCAATTGAAAATTTAATTAAGAAGACACAAATCAGTCGAATCTCTCAACAGCAAAAGGCAGAAGATATTCATTTACCTCAAACTTCAACATCATCTGTTGCATCATCAAGTGCAAGTATCCCGAAAGCGTCATCAAATAAACCATCATCACAACGAAACTACAAGAATATGACAAGAGAACGAAGAATTGAAGCGAATGCTCGAGAACGAACTCGAGTTCATACAATCTCAGCTGCCTATGATACATTACGAAAAGCCATCCCATCATACTCGAATACGCAAAAGTTATCAAAGTTATCAGTGCTGCGAGTTGCATGTTCATACATTTTAACATTAAGTCGAATGACGGGTGAAGATTTTTCGGTTGATCAAAGTGAACCACCAGTTCAAGATTGTATCGATTCTGTAACAAGAACGATTCAAACTGAAGGCAAGCTTCGAAGGAAGAAGGATGAATAAAAAATGATATGAAGAGGAGAAACAGGTTGATCACGATATCATACAGGGCTCGAGAAGTTTTACGAATGACTGGTTATTCGACTGCATTTCTTTATTTGGCCAAATCAAAAGAAAAACATTTTAAAAGAATAAGTTAACTGCTTTAAGAAGTTTCAAAAACTCTCAACTTGTTTCAAAGATGATGTTGTGCAACTCATGTAAATAGCTGTGTCTGAATGTTATCTTGTTCAAGATCTTCAAAGTCTTTCGAATTAAATAAAAAATAAAAATAAAAAATGAAATAAAGTGAAGAAGAAAACAGTACAAAAAGAGTCATGCTCAATGTAAAGGCAAACAAGCCACACCGAATCATTCATTGGTGAATCACTTTCAAAGCGACAATAACAAATATTTAATAATTGCGAATCAATTGTATCTTCTGTCAATTTATCGAGTGCCATGTTGAGCTTTCGAATGGATCAACGTAATAGTTAAAATGCCAAAATATCGATGAGAAAGTGAAATGTTTAAGTCGCACTTTTCATGAAAAAATAAAAAAGAAACGAAATATTTGCTCGGATAATTTCTTCCAAAAACTTTAGTCATATAAAAAATGAAATTGATTAAAATAATGTGATTTGATAAGAAAAGTTAATATGTAAGTTTTATAAATAAATAATTTCGATAATTTCTTCCCATAACTTGAAAAGAAATAAAAATTTGAATGGAGATTTGTGAAAAATTAACATTGAAGACTTTTTTTATTGAATTCCTTTTCTGTAGCTTGAACGAGCGCAGGGTTGTTATTTGAAAATTGTAATAAAATTGTTTAACTATTTTATCTAATTCTCTTCGTGATAAAATTAAAATTCTCTGTTGTCAGCTTTTAATTGAGGAAACATTTTGAATCATCATGGAAAGTTATTATCGTCACAAGCACTTGTCATTCAACTTGTTTGCTTCATTATCTTGAAGCTTTTGAGTTATTTTTAGCTCGAAGTTTTATATCACTGCAAACAGATGTGCTGCAAGTTTCATTGCTTTCCGCATTTCAGTAATTTTATTTACTTTTAATCGTCTTATTGCTTTAAGCTAGAAAAATTTCAAAACAAATTCTTTAATAAACTAGAAACGCAAGTTGATATCTGATAAAGTATAAAAAAATGACTCGTTATCTTTAGAAGTCGTTAAATGAACGTCGTCAACATTACTTAATCAGCAGTGTCGCAAAAAAAGTAATTTCTTCTTTCTTTTGCGCTTAAAAAAACTTCAGGGACAATCGTACTGACTGCGAAACTAACGTACGATAACAAATACAACAACAAAAATGTCTTGTTTGCTTTCCAAATCTTATAATTGGACTTCGTGTTAACAGGTTGAGCTTGTTATAAGTTTTTTCCAGTTCAAAGCGATTACTTATCGATTATCATTAAATTGCGAGTTCTTCCTAATTCTCAAATCAACTGAATATGGTTTGATCGTGGAGCAACTCTGCTCTGTTTCCGTAAATAAAATGTTGATTTTTAAAATTTTAACACTTGCTGAGTATATCGCAGACAAACATGATGATCAGACAATGTCGACAGTTCGTAATCAAAGCTTTCCATAAATCAGATGTGTCTCAAAATACTCTTCGTTATCACTTGTTTACTGAGTCTTCTTTTTCCGAGACTACAAATTATACTTGCGTGAAATCCAGTTTAAAGCAGTTTCGACACGGCACAAAGCTCTGATAATGAGAAGTGTAAATTTCATTTCGGCTTTTTGTCCAACTTGGGATTAATAAACGACTTGAAGTTTATTTTTGGACTCCAGTAAAGAAAACACAAATAAAAAGAAGCAAAACTGTAAGACATGATCTCAATCCACCAAATTAACAAACAATTAGCTGAGACTTCTCGCATCTTGTTCGTGGTCAGATGTCCGTGGTTTTATTTTTAGTTCGATGTTTTTGTCTCTTCCCGAAGTCGATTTCTTACCACATGAATGTAAATTAATAAAAATGTCATGTGAGTTGCTCTGTTTACTCTTCATCGTGTTCACATTGATTTATGAACCAAAATATTGCCCATCGCCGCCCACATGGCACTTAACAACGACATCTAAAGTTCGCACTCAAATAATTTTGAAATTGTTGGGAAAGTGAGAAAACTTTTTTATTTTTCACTTTTTTTCTGAATCCCCTAAAATGCAAATAATTCACAGTGAAAGTTTTGCAATATTTTGTAACATCTGGTTGCATTTTAGCGATTTGTAATAAACAACATAAGAATGTGAGAATAGTAACCGCAACAATAAATATTATTCACAAATGTCTCGCAAAGGAAAGAACCATAAATTAATTATTTTACATTGCACAAATAATGCTGCAACATCCAACGTGTCTTCACATTGAAAATGAAGGTGGGAGAATTGAGAAACATATTGCAGAATTTGTAACTCGTTAGAGTGGATTAAATCTTCTCTTATGTAATTCCAGATGTTTGCATGATGTTAGAGTTGGTTGGATAAGAAATTAGAATTTAAAGATTATTTGGAAGGCTTTAAAGGATTTCAAATTTCTTGTTATCGATCTCTTGTTACATTTCATATGCGAAATATTATTCACAGCCATAAGCAATCTCAATTAAATACGTAAATCAAAAACTTTATCAGATGATGATGAATGATGTGGTTAACAAGAGGTCAACGTTAATTAAACTTTTTGTTGTTTTATTTTCAATTCAATATTTTTGTAATTTCTAATTCAATGCCATGAATTCTCAATCGATAAGATAATCACAAAAGATTAATTTAATTATAGTTTCACTTCTTGTTGCAATGAAAGGAAAACTTTGTTGCAAAGAAAAACAGGAAATGAAATTCCATGAAATCAGTTAATGTCGAAAATGGAATTTTCATGAAAATCAGAAAACCACACAAGAGAAAAGCAGTAAAAATCAATTTTCTAAATTTAGTGACGACCAACTTTGATCTATGTAAGAACAAAAAAATGTTGTTTTTGTTTGATTGTTGGAGGAAATTTACCGCGGGTGATTAATTTTTTCTATCTATGCGCATCTGTTCATCAATTATTCAACATCTCGTGTGTGATCTTAAAGAAGATTTTGAGATTTTTCTTTCATTTCGGGTCTCGTTAAGAATCGTCTTTCATCGAGCACATTCAACAAATCTAAATTTGAACTGCTTGAACTCGCGCCCCAAGGAAGAATGAAAACTTTTACCGGAACAACGCGATGTTCATCTTTCAACACTCGCCTATTGTTTGAATTGACGGCATGAATGCGACACACGAAGCCAAAACGGAAGCCATCGAAAAAGAGAAAAGGCAATTTTTCAATGTGATTTTACGACACGAAAAGATTCAGCATGAATGAAAATCTCTTTTGCAGTTCATCATCATCATCAGAGTAGGGAGTGC